GCCCGGTCTGGCCACGGCTGAGGGCATCCGCTCAGGGCGTATTGCTCAACTTCGGGGCTCCTTACAGCCCCCAGACTGGTGACCTCTCCACACAGGCTACAAACCAGTCCCACAGAGCACTTCAGCAGCCTGCCTGAAGCCTCACGAGCAAAACCCCTCCGACGCCCCAGCAATATCCGTGCCCCAGATGGCCCCGGGCCTCATACACCAGTGGGGGGTCCTAGCACCCAATCCCACCTACCCCGAACAAGTTCTGTCCGGTTCCAAGAAACCAGCCACAGATCCCTGGTCAATTTACCCTCTGGATCTTACCCACAAATCACGCTGGGCCAATCCTTTAGAATCTATATCTAAAGGTTTATTACCACAAGAAAGAAAAGCCTGAGAGTCAGGTTGCTAAAGGATAGTACATTACATGCACCGAATCTCCCAGTCCTCGATGCAGGCTCTAGCAGAGATGTTACAGCTGCTGGCTTAAAAGTCCTTGTTGCGCACCCTAGGATCAGGATGGGTTCACAGGTCTTCCTGGCTCTTCAATCCCTGCACTGCTGCCTCTGGGATGAAGTGCTGAGCTGAGTACCAAAGATGGAGTCCACCACATGGACTATTTATCCCTCCTTCCTGGTCTCTTCTTGGCTACAGCAGGTCACACAGATTACAGATTCCTAACTACACACACAGACATTATACAATCACATGAACAGCGTACACAGGGTTATCAGACAGAAAGCTTCTATTCAACACCCCACATGGCCCCTTTTATACCATTTCTGGGGCCAACACCCCCACCCGTAGGTGCAGCAGTGATCTGGTTGCTTCCCTCAAATTCAGTAACTTGACACAAGGAGATAGTTATTTTTTCACTAAGCACTAGGCAATTGTCCAGAAGCTTGATCCACCTCATCTCCAGAGCACTAGTGACAGCTTGGATCTCAGGCGGGTCATGTAGTGTCACTGACATGGCAATAAAAAATTGAAAAACCATTGAAGAATGGAAAGAGACCTGAAATCCAGAATAAAGGTGTCAGCTGCCAAGCCAATAATTCTCGGTATCTGCAGTGACTAGATGTTCTTATAATACCTGGGACAGTTGGGCTGTGTCTACACTGGGCCATTTATTCCGGAAAAGCAGATGCTTTTCCGGAATAACTTGCCAGCTGTCTACACTGGCCGCTTGCTTTTCCGGAAAAGCAATGACGATCTACTGTAAAATTGTCAGTGTTTTTCCGGAAAAACTATGCTGCTCCCGTTCGGGCAAAAGTCCTTTTCCCGAAAAACTGTTCTGGAAAAGGGCCAATGTAGACAGCCCAGTAGCCTTTTCCGCAAAAAAGCCCCGATCGCGAAAATGACGATCGGGGCTTTTTCCGGAAAAGCGCGTCTACATTGGCCACGGACGCTTTCCCGGGAGAAGTGCTTTTCCGGAAAAGCATCCTGCCAATGTAGATGCGCTTTTTTCGGAAATACTTATAACGGAAAACTGTTCCGTTTTAAGCATTTCCGGAAAAGGGTGCCACTGTCTTTACGAAAAAAGATACTTCTGGTACAACCATAAGTTATTGGGCTTGCCTTAGGAATGGTTGGGTGAAATGCTCTGGCCTGTGCAATGCAGAAGATCAAACTAGATGTGGAGAGCTGGGCTTTAGGACGGGCTACACACCCCATAACAGGGGTGGGCAATAATTTTTGAAGGGGGGCCACTTTGCAAATTTCAGAAGTGTCTGTGTGCCAACCCGGAAGGGGCGGGGCCTCGGCGGAAGGGGCGG